AAAAAAATCAACAACCATAAAATAATTATCATCTTGCACAGAAGATATGATCAAAATTACCAAAATAAATAGTTTTTTCTCTAAATTAAACATTTTCTCTCGTAGAAAATTGGTAGCAGTTCTACTTTTCTAACAAAATTGAAATTTGGCGGACTTTTTGAAACGCTTGTAAATGTTTTTTTTCAAAAGTGAATCAAATCTAATTTGGCCTTTAGTGACCCTATTTTAAAATCAAGATTATCACACAGAAGAATTTGTGGGATTTTCTAATTTGAAAAGGCTTATCTGACATGAAGAAACAAACAAACATTATTTTACATCATTTTTTTTTTATTCAACACAGACTACTGATGCCAGTAGAAAATATGCAACTATTTTAACCACGAGATTTTTTTATTACTAATCTTAGCTTCGTACTATACAAGGTCGAATTGTGTATTTCCGTGTGGTTTAGTGGTTAACAAGCTTTTCGTGCTCGATCAATTATGGCAAAACTGAGTTTGATCCTCAATGGGTGCCGTATTCTTCTGCCTTTGTGCCACATCTAAACTATGCTTAGAAAACCATTATACAAGATCAAATTGGGGTGTTACAAAGGCAGGAAGATCGAGGCCAGTGTAAGATAGGGAACCAAAGCTACCAAAGCCACGAGAGCCCATCATTGATTTATCAGAGCGAAGGAAATTATCGAGTAGTCGAAAGTGCGTTACCTTCATTATTGGCTTTTTCCCGTTTTTTCTTTTTTTTATGAATAAAATCTTCAGCCGTAATTGCTAGCAGCCCAAACATCACTGTTCAAGAAATATAAGTTGAACAGCAATATACTATTTTGAGGAATTGAAGGTTTGAAAATGTTAACCTAACTAAAAGTTGTGTGTTTTTCTTTAACTAAAATGTATTCACTGATTCGTTTTTTATGGCTTATCAACCCTTTGTAGAAAGTCAGTAAATATTTTAGAATGATTTTTGGAGATAATGATTTATTTATAAGAGTTTTACTAATTAACTCCTAACTTAGGCAGAAGAGGTGAATTTATACTTTTTCCAAGTGTATTTGTGCGTAAGTGAATAGAAAGAACCCAACTGGAATTGAACTCGGCTCTACGATTAACAATTTCGAGCCACTATCCATTACACTGCCCACATATACAAGCTTAGAGCACTTAGTATTCTCAAGATGTCACCCAACTAGGTACTGACCTGGTTCGACATTCCTTAACTTCGATAATCGTACGGGAACTCGTGCTTCAACGTGATATGGTTATACGCCTTAAAACTGTAAGTAATCCATCAAAAATCCTGTCAGAATTTAGTGGAAAGAAAACTGTCAGTTTGAACAGAATCGGTGAATAGGATTGGAAGTCAATGAATTAATGGCACAGGCTTAAAAAAATAACATTTCCTTCACCCCATACAGTTTTATATAATCATGAATCCTTTTCGTGTACCCCTCTTCCATCAGAGGCGGTGATTGACTCACTAAGCAATCGTCTTCACTAAATGAACATTTGAATTAGCTTTCTGTGTTTTTGTTATATTTTTGTTCAAATTGTAGTTTCTTGATAAAATATCCAAGGTTTTTCACCCCGAAAATTATTAATTCTTGCTTATCAAATTTTTTATGTCCTAAAATATTTCATTAGTTTTTATAAGCTTCTCTAGCGTTAAACAAAATGTGAAACTGTTTTATACTGGCGGTTATTCTACGTTCTCAGCAAGGGAATTAGATTTTCTTATAAAAAATCTGCAGCTACATTTGGAATCTTTTTAGACTGCAATTTATGAAAGAAAAATCTACAAGAATAAACTTATAGAGAAATCCGTCCGATAGAGAAAAGGATTATGGATGAAAACTGTATTAATCCTTGATATAAACATGTCTAATATCCGTATTGAAATATCAATGGAAAAACAAGGTATAAAAGCTCGTTTATACTCAGCATCCACCAAGAAAGCTTTATTCTAAAACATAAAATAGTAGTGGAGCGAAAAGCATCGTATGTAGGGAAAGGAAAGTTCATCATTCTTTTGGCACGAGTGGTCACAGTATCATTTTCCATTTACGAGAAGTCCAATTTATTGCTAGATGGATGCATCTCTGCCCCCGTTTACTCATGAGAATTTACCCGTCTCTCTTTGTATTTGTAGGGTGGTCTCTCTCAGTCTTTCTTTTCTTTTCTCCTCTCTCTTTCTCTCTCTCTCACACACACACACACACACACACACACACACACATATATATATATATATATATATATGTATATATGGTTTCTTTATCTGTCTTAGTGTTAGTGTTAATTAGTTTCACATTGGTAAGATGCCATGTCGAGAAGACAGCCTTCAGTCATATGTCCAACGCTTTATCTTGTAACATTCTATCTTTCATTTCTCTCTTGCTCTCTCTCTCTCTTTCGTTATTTTCTGTCCTTATTTCACTTAAAACGTGGAGGCCAAAACCTCTAAACACCTTTTGCAAAGATCGCTTCCAGATGGAGTATCGATGACATTGATTATATTAACCATTTCCATCGCCATGGCGTCAGAGATCCGAGCATAATAATCACAACATTGACATAACTTAACAAAATCTGTTTAAACCTGCCGGTGTTTATCACCCGAAGAAATCTGATTGCAATATTCTCCGTAAACAACACAGCAGCAGTAAGCAGATACGAAACAATATATATATATATATATATATATATATATATATATATATATAGGGAGTATCAAAAATACTTTTACAAACATTGGGGGCGGGTTCCTTACACCAAAACAATGACAAAAGTTCATATAAACATGTCCACAAATCCTTTGCTTTTGCGTTAACTTTAAAGAAAGTTTGCAAAATTATTTTTACACACACACACACACACATATATATATATATATATAATAAAAAAAAAAACCCCTCAAACTCTAATATTCCATGGTTATAATTTATTACATTGAAATCGTAATCACAATCCAATTCACCAGACCTACAAATTCATAAAGAAATCGGAAAATATAACTCCGGGTATAAAAAATAATATTTTAGTGAGAGCGTATGAGTGGGAGTGAGAAACAAGTGTGAGAGGGAAATGTATGAAAGCTCTAGAGAGAGAGGGGTGCAATAGAAGAAAGAAGAACAGGAAAGGCCTAAAGGTGAAAGTGGCGATTAAAATTTAAGAGAGAGAAGTTTTAAAGAAAGGAGTTAAATATAATTTACAAAACTGACAAAAAAAAACCCCCAAGAAGATGTCTATTCAGTTTATACAGCTAACGACATTTGAAGACAGATAAAACGAATCTGACAATCGTTTGGATCAAACGGATATTCAAGCATTTGGTGCAAATGGATTTCATTCAGATTTAACGACTTTTTATCTAGAAAACTCTTTAAATATGACGTTCAAACAGTTTATCACTTGAGAAAAAAAAAGAAAACATTCATTAAAAATCTGCGATTTCAGAAATTTTGCCCATTAGAAAAAAAGTAAGAGTTGACAATAATCTATGGATTTTTCTTTGAAGCATAGTTTTTATTAATCAATAGAAAATACTCGTTAACAGAAACACATTTATCCATTTGAAAATTTCTTCGAGGTTTTCATCTCAGAGCATTTCGTTACTGGAATTTATATACATACATACATTACACATACCTTACACACTTACACACACACACACACACACACACACACACACACATATATATATATATATATATATATATATATATATATATATATATACTCAACCACAGACAGACTTTTTAACAGCTCGTCAGTGTAGCTAGACATTGATTGCTTCAAGCCGAGATCGAAACCAGATGATTTGGACATCATCACACTACCGAGAGGAAGGAATTTTAACGTTTCTTTATAGGAAATACGCCAACGGCTGGGAGAATTCAATTTAATTTACTTGAAGAGTAATTCTTAATAGCAGTAGGAGCCGCTATTTATAAAAAAACCTTTCCTAGAGAGCTCAACAGTATTTCCGAGAGCATATATATATATATATATATATATATATATATATATATATATATATATATATATATATGTATGTATGAAATGGATTAAGTTCGTTCGACAATTATTTAATATATATTCTGCTTATGCCGGCCTGAATGTGCTCGGAATTTCGTAGAAAAAAAATGCGTTCTCCGACAGGAATAGAACCTGAATTTATATACGGAAACCGTTATTTGATCTGATGTGTTATACCATTTAGTTACAGAAAAGCATCTAGTTAGCAAACTCCAAATTATATTCAGGCCGGTAAATGTTATTAATACTGTTTAATTAAAAAGAATAAGTGCATTTACTTAAATAAATTATAGGACTTTCAATATTTACTGAAATCTATTTTTTTAGTCCTCTAAACCGAATGGTTAGTTTATTTTTTTGAAAAAGCATAAAACAGTTACGTAGAATCACAAAGAGGGACAAAATCACCCATCACAATTCTTTCTGGTAAAACACAATTATTATTGAAATAAATAATAATTCATTCTAATTCCATACAGACAATATATGAACTAAAGCGTTATATATATATATATATATATATATATATATATATATATATATATATATAGAGAGAGAGAGAGAGAGAGGGGAGGGAGAGAGAGAGAGAGTGAGTGTGTGGGTGTTGTTAATATTTTAAATCCCAAGGAAATGTTTCGCAGAATTAACAATTGCTTTAATTCTTTATAAAATCAATGAACAGAAAACGTTCTTTGGTTTGCTTTCATTCGGTCAAAAATTTGAAATCAAATCACAAAGGTTAAATATAGATGCAAAGGAGGCTCGAACTCAGTTCAGTGTAAAGACAGTCGCTAACGCTGACATCACTATACATGAAGCTATATATGATTCACTGACGATATTGCAACATGCTCAACAATATCATCCAGAAAACAGCTTCAAAAAGGAACAATCTATCACGCTAATGCATACATGCGAAACAGCGGCTTAAAACACAGCTGCTGGCTCCACGATGTTGAAGAATTAAATGTATAGGATGAAGTTCACAGCAAGTGGTGAAGAAGAAGAAGAAGAAGAAGAAGAAGAAGAAGAAGAAGAAAAAAAAGAAGAAAAAGAAAAAGAAGAAAAAGGAGGAGAAGAAAAAAAGAAGAAAAGTATGTTTATAGTATGCATATGTTTGTACTGTGAGTGTGTGTTTTGTCGTCTTCGTTCCAGAACGAATTTGGAAATTGTTCAGATATTCACGCGCTTTTTCTTTCGTTGTAAATCATTCCCATCAATGATTTCAGTCGAAAAGATAGAAACACAACTCGACTACATTGTCTCATGTTTTGTAGTAAATTATTTTCATTTTTCAATGGATTGTTTAAACAAATTTTAGGGTAGCTTGGATATTTTATTGATAAATATTTAACCAAATGAAATGTTAAAACTCACATAAATAAAGTCTGTTAATTGGTTAGGAATTAAGCATTCCCCGGACGGTATTTTAAATAATAGGATCTCAGTTGACTAGGAATTTTGTCAACAGTCAAAATGCTTTGTGATTGAGAAAACAGGATTTTCTAATTAAAATTAGGACAAGATAAATGTCAAAATTTCAATCACTGGCCGACGTTTGGAAATACCAGTCGACCAATTTTTAAATAATAAGAACAATTTTAAATATAAATGTTTATGGAAAAGATGATTGGTTGGTTCGCAGTGGATCTGGTAACGAAGCAACATGTCAATAATTGGTGATTTATTGACTCTACTTCAAATCATAATATGAGCCGAATAGTTTCAGAGATCAACTCAATCATCGTCTGCCGTGTTGGAGAGAAATCGTTGCCTAGCTGTCCGTGTTTTAGAAACTCGACTGAACAACGCAATTGTTTGACCGAAAACAACATAGCCACTGACATCAACACGATTCCGCCAAGGATTTGATATAATGATAACATTACACTTAGAAGCCACATTACTCAACCCGAAGTTGCAAGCGTGTGTAAGAAACATTGTAAAATGTCGAAATAAACTCAATGGAAATCCCAATTCAACTTCTGTGTCTCATTGCTTGACGAGTGTTAATGGCGTCGATTCTCATCTAACATTTTCGTTTTCAAGTAATTCAAGGAAATTAGAACCGAGAAGAAAAAGAAACGAATTGATTTGCCATTTTATAATCAGCAAATTGAAAGATCACAGGGAGAGAGATTTATTATTGTCTTCACGGTTTCCGAATTTTCCCAAATGTTATTCCGTCTCTCGATTTATTTATTTATCTTTTATATTATCAGTGGATCCAAGTGATAAACATTTTTGTGTGTCAATGCAGATTTTACAAGACTGGATATTCGCAAGGAAAGAGTCTACTGGCGAAAATGGTCAGAAGAATAAATGCAAAGATAATTATTCATTAAAACATTAAAATTTTATTCTGGTCGAGATAATTTATAATTAACCAAGTATTTTTGCATCTTGTCAGAAATTTATTCACTAACGGTGAAACTACACATATGCATATAGAATCACTATTCGTAGACACAAGAGTTGCTTTTCACCATTTTCATCATAAACGACATTAAACACGTCACAAATAATTAATACTTTTCTGGCAAGATCTCAGAAAATATGAGTGGATTTTTAAATTTGACAGAATGATTCTTCCTTGGTAACGATACTAATATGCCAGACATCAATACTATAGCATAGTATAATATAATAAATAGTATATACTATACTTACAAGTATATAATAATCTCAAGAAACACAAATGGTTGTCTCGTGAGGCCAATGTCCAATCGGTAACATGGCGTGGTACCACTTGATTTGTGGTTAAGAAAATTCTAAGCATGTATCGTTCGATTATAGAATCCCTCCCACGCACTTAAACACCCCCACCACACACACCTACAGATTATTCTTTTGCCTTATTTGCTTTTCAAAGAATTATTTTATTAACTTGAATTGTGTTTTCATATTGCCTGTCTTTAAACAAGAGACTTGATCCCAGAAAAGTCTTTTGTATAAAAGAAACTCTTATTTTCATTAACATTGTCGAGGCTCATTGAAGTTTTATGATTTTTCGGTTGAATCACATTTTTCCTTGCAACATTTAACTTCTGTAAAAGTTATTAACTGAACACCATGTTTACATATTTTCTATGTTCATTTATTCTATCAAAAGTTAGTTTATTGTTAAATGTTATGTAACCATATTTACATTACCTTGTTCTAGACTAATTTGTAAGCAATAGGGTTGTAGAAATTTAATTTAACTTCATCAACATAACTTTTAACATTCAACAGTTTCTTCTTTGCCAACTCACTTTCCCGTCTAAGACCATTTTGCCTATTAACAGATCATTTATTTTTAGTCAAAACGTAAGGAGCTGAGAATGCCAAAACAATTCAGCGTTGTTTGATATTTTTACTGACCATTTTAGTTCAAAGCCCCACTTGGTTCGTTTCACCAATTTTCAACCAGAAATTGAAATTGGATCCAATGTAAATCACAGTTTTGAATGTCACCCTTTAATAAGGAAGTCTCTCTTGTTAAACGCGTTCTTCTAAATCAGTTGCATTTGACCTTGTGCCAAACGAAGCTAATTTTAATGAATATTAGGATTTCAAACACTGATTTTCAAGGCTAAGAAAATATTTCCCATTTATCTATTTCCCATTTCTATAAACAGTGAAGGTTCATATTTTAGTTTTTTTTCCATTTTGGTTACGTCTCAAACTTAAACTTTGGCAATATCTACGTTTATGCATCCATAGACAGGCATTGAGTTACACACATACAAGAAAACGAATATTCATTGTTGTAAATAGAAACATCTGAACGAAGAAAAAGATTTTTTTCACTTTGATAAGAAAACAGTTTTACATTTGCTTTTGCAGTCACACTTGGATTGCAACACTTTTGACGGCAAAAAAAATGAAAAAATGTTTCAAAAAGAATCTTTTCATGCATTCCCCATTTTAGGCGCAGTGGTTTCGATTTCGAGCTTCAAGCAAAGAAACAGTTTTGAAGTGTATTGAAAATAGAACTTGTTGGAAATGTATTTACGAATATGCAGGAAAACATGGAATTCTCGATATTTATCATTACAAGACAATGTTGACGTTTTCTTCCCAAACACTTTCTGAAATATTCTTTTGCAAAAAAAAAAAAAAGAAAAATCAAAAGCAGGTTCACCCTGTATGTAAAGCAATATGACGTGAGAATCAAACACTATGACCGATTGTTATAAGTTTATTTTTGAAATGCAAGCATATGTATAGAAACAGAAAATGGTAAAACATTAGAGAAACCATTTACGATGAAATCATAAAAAAGATTGTAATAAATCCAAGTGAAATATAATAAATTCTAGCAAAGAATCGAATAATGGTCCTCATTAGTCGTGATTAAAAGTCACGAATATGATTATCTGAAAGGATATCTACGATTTTTGTTCGCTTTTAAACACCTTGAGAAAGTCGTTGGCATCGATTCAGTTCATGACTGGAAAATTTGGAGAGAAAAAACGAAGGAAATAAAGTACACGTTGCATTGTCACGAAGACGTGTGAATAGAAATCGACTTGTAATAAGGAAAAGTTTTTAAAAATAGAAACTGAAATCTGAGACTTTATAAAGGAGTTGATAAAAAAAAGCCAGTACAAATTCTGTCCTATTTTTTACCGATATAACATCGACGCAAATTGTAAATTCCTCGCCAAGCCAAAAATACCTTATTAGCCAACTCGTTCAGGTACAGGCAAATGGCTTTTGTTTACAAGTACGATGCCTTTCTCAGCAAATCATACAAATCTTGTTTTTGTCGGCAGGAGAATCTAAGGCGAAATGAGCGGAAGTCATAAGAGCTTCTATTTTCATCTTCCGGTTTTCGTATTTTTCTTTTACATTCAACAATTTTCCTCATCTTCGTTGTTGTGATTGCAACAGAGATGAGAACAGTAACCCGAATATAAACCTATATTTGCATACCATTTAGATAAAAGTATAGACAGCCAACATAAATTGGGAGGGACAAGGGTGAGAAAAGAGCAGAAGCATGAAATAATGGATAAGAATGGTTTTCAACGCCGGTGGAATTTGGACGTCTTCTGTGAGAATGAACTTAGGTAGCCTCATTCAGAATTCAAATTCAATTTGACAATATAAACGGACGCCTACACATATGTTCGAAGATAACGTATATTTTATGAGAATATGATGACAAGATGGATGATTGATGTGATGCACGGAAGAATGAAGAATATATCTAAAAAAATGTCTCTTCATTTGATTTTGTTAAAAGATCAAATGTAGAAGAAAAGTTCAGTGAATATGAAAGAAAAGTTCAAAATACTGAACTAGAATTTGCATACTATTTAAATTATTCGGACTATATCACATATACACACATGCATGCACACACAAGCATGTACAGATAGATAGTGACTTTCCAGGCGTAGCTTAGATATGGCACAAGGCCGAAAGCAGGGGGCACCCAGTGAGGATCGAACTCACTTCTCAGTCGCAATTGTTCTAGCGAGACAAGCCTGCTAACCATTACACCGCCTCGAGATGCCCACATGCGCGGATAGATATATAGATAACGATCAAACTATCTGTTAGATACATATGAATTGGCTGAGATAGAGAGATAGTATTGTAACCTAGAAAGGTTACACTGAAATGAAAGGTTTTACGGAATGAGAAATAACCGAAACGGAGGTTGGAAATGAAATGGTAACCAACAAAATACAACACTCGTCAGCGGCGTGAAGTAGGGAAAACCACTATATTAACGACACTTACAATAGTGTCCAACGTATTTATGAGGAATGGGACATACCCATTAGTGTTTTTCGGTACTGTATACAACAGACAGACAGATAGATAGATAGATAGATAGATAGATAGATAGATAGATAGATAGATAGATAGATAAGTAGGTAGGTAGGTAGGCAGATAGATAGATGTATAGATAAATAAAGAAAAAGACAAAAAGAAATAACAATCAAAGAAAGAAACGAACTGAGACAGATAATACACAAACAGAAATAGATAGATAGATAGATAGATAGATAGATAGATAGATAGATAGATAGATAGATAGATACAAACAAGCTGACCGGCCTTTTAAAATAGAAACGCACACGCAAAGGGGCTGAAAAATTCGATATTAAATCAACGCATCTTCCTATATGGATCACCTGATATTATTTGTTTAAATTTACCGACGACAACAGTTTAACGCTTAACAAACTTACGTCTTACTCGTAAATTATTAAGCATGACTTAGTCTGGCGCATGGCCACAATATTGAAACCCTCCCGAGGATTGAATTCATCACATTTTGAAATTGGTCCAAAGAGACAAGATGGCGTCGTTATTGGCACTTTTTAATTTTAAATAAATATTTACGTTTATTGACTTATTGCGTTGCCTTTGAGACAATAAATTCCAGCTACTGGAAAGACCGAATAAAGATATTTTTGTTAATTACCTAGAGAAAAAGATGTTGCATTTCTGGCTTTTCAAAAGAAATACGGTAAAATAATTTAGGGGGTTCTATTTTCTTAAGCCACTCATATTTGTTAATCCTCAAATGCATCCAGAAAGAAAACGAATTAAAAACTTAGATAGAAGCTGGCAATAGTATATCTTTTCTACTCCAGATATTGGCAGATATTAGCAGATCCATAAATTGTGTATATCGTGTTGCAGATTATTATGTTCCGGGTCTCACAATCGCAATCACGAATCCCGTAATCCATTAGCGTCTAAGCGGCACCACATCTACCTCTGCCATAGCAGCAGCAGTGTTATATCTTCGGTAAGACAGCCTGACGGAGCCCAATCCACTCCAGACCGGTTTGAATTTTTCTTCTCTTAGACTGGTTGCCAATCAAGGCTATAAGATCCAATGTGACCTGTTTTTTTACCCGTAGACAGGGGAAGATGAATCCATACCTTTCTCAAGTGTATTAGCACGTACGTGAATATAATGAACTCGGATGGACTTCGAACTCGGCTCTCGGATTCTACAGTCCGTGCCGCTGTAAATTACTCAACCGTGACTTCAGGGTTATGGGTTTGTAGTTGAAAAATCAGAGTGTGTCTCCAGCACTAAGCTTCTCATTGGTTGGTGTTGGATCTTCGAAAAGAAATTAATCTCGACCCTGAAAAGCATCAGCAACTAATCAATGATTAAATTTATTTCTTTTTTTAAAAGAGATCAAAAGATATTGAATTGCATTTTCAAGTAATTCCACCTGGCAACCTCATCCGTTTCTCTAAATTTAGAAACGAAATACTCGCTGTAGGAAATGTTTCACCTGAAATAGAGAATAAAACTCATTTCTTTCTTCGAATTAATATTTACTGAGATTAAATAAATTTGAATCTTAGTAAACAAGCTAAATAAGAGAAATAATTAGAAAGAATGAGTTGCGCCAATCTTTCAAGTGAAGAGAATTTCTTTTGAGGATTAAACTTTGTATGGAATAAAGACACGGTGGTGTATATGGCCTTTAGGTGTTGTAAATTATAATTAGTTAAAAGTATTGCCTACTATTTATCTACTAGTCTTCAAGGCTAGGATTTGTGGTATTTACCAGGGCGCCTATGTTGTAATCGGATGTAACACAAGGTTGAATCTATAAAGTACGTTTAACGGGCACCCGCGCAAAAACTGATACAGATGAAGAATGAACTTGAAGCAACAGAGATGTGGTTCTACAGTAGGATGCTGAGAATATCATGGATCCAACATGTGTGCAACAACAAAGTTTTAGAGAAATGGAAACGAAATGAAAACTTATACTTAACATCAAGTAGGGACAGTTGAAATTTATAGAGCACATAATGAGGTAAGAAGGCTTGGAAAATTTGGTACTCACAGGACAAACTGAAGGCAAAAGAAACAGAGAAAAACAAAGTATAACTTACCTAGTGAGCTTGAGGAAATTGATGGCGGAGCACGTTTTGAGAGAGATGACAACAAAAAAAAATAGGATAAAGGATAGGAAATTGTGGAGAGGTAGGATTACCTACGTCCTGAATGGACATGGCACATAAAAGAAGAAGATCTTGAAGATTTTACCCAACATGGATTAATTAATACCAATTATATTTTAAAAACATTGACTTTCCTTATAAAATATTATATAGTGTAGCATCCAATTGTATAGGAAATCATAAAAAAATAAATGAAAAAAAGTGCATTGCATTTTTCTTTTATTAACCCTTTTCGAACTGAACTTATTTTTCCTTTCGGATGACCAAGTCACGCTTCTGACATGTTCTTGGAGAATGGTCACGCTTTTTATGTCTTCAGTACAAAAGAATTTCACCCACGATGAATAAACGTTAGAAAGTTATCGAGCAGTGATTATGGACAAAAAAGCGAAATTCTTTGCAGAAGAATTTAGAGAAAGACAAAATGAAAGAGAAAAAGAAAACCATAAAATAATAAAACAAATCGAAAAAGATTCAAAAGTGAAAAGAGAATCAGGTAAAAGGGATTTTAGATGAAGGATATAAGAGATAAAATAGGGTCAGCGAAAAGAACAGCAAAGTTTATCGGCAAAACAAATTGGGAAATGAAGATGAAAAAAAAAAACAATCTGCGTTTTATTGCGTAAGTGATAAAACCAATTTCGTCTTTTAGTTGGCTTTCAGAATCTTAGATCCTACCATGAACCTTCTAGAAACGTGAATTCTAAAGAACTGTCCATTTCTGCACATTCCCTTTATACGTGTGTGTGTGTGCGTGCGGTTTCCATGCTTTTTTTTCGTATGATCCTTGGGTAGAATTTGAATGGTGAAGACTCGTTCTCATTTTGAAAATACAAAGTGAAATAAGTGAATCATCAGCGCCGAGGTTTCACGCAAGGAGTAAACTGAATTTGGCCGAAAGTAACAAGATTTGAAGACGCAAAATTATTTTAACATCCTTTAAGGGATAATATCAACGCACACAATCCTTGGGGATGTGAATAGCTTTGAAATTTACTAATGATGACTTCAAAAGAAAACTCATAAGTATTTGATTGCGGAATGAACAAAGAAACTCACGATCAATCGCTCGAATTCATTTCTTATTATTAAAAACGTAATTAATTGTGATAATGAAACTGTTTTCTTTCTTTCTTTATGACTTGCTTATTACTTTACGTTAAAAATTATTCTTCAGCGTTCATGCATGCAACTCTTCGCCATTATACACAAGGGGGTGCTGAACATTTCTTGACTTTAACGAAGGGGCTTTTCCTATAAAAAGAAATATTATGTTTTTGTTTAGATTTAAGAGCAAAGTCGAACCGAGAACAATTCAGTGCCTACTCGCATATGTGTGTGTGTGTGTGTGTGTGTGTGTGTGTGTGTGTGTGTGTGTGTGTGTGTGTGTGTGTGTGTGTGCATCTGGGGAAGATTTGTAAAAAGTTACATACAAATACACCCACAAAGTGTGTTGGGAGAGTGGGTGGTCGACATACTTAGGCCCCAAAAGTACAAAAGGAAAGTATTTGGCATTTCTTTATTATATGTGTGTGTGTGTATGTGTATGTGTGTGTGTGTGTATGTGTATGTGTGTGTGTAAACTTGTGCTGAATTTGAAAAATAAAACCAGGAAGTAAAAATGTTAAATTTGAAAAGTTCATTCAGTTAAAAGGCAAATGTGGTGTTTTTGAGTCTCTTACATTGATAAATTGCATTATGTCCGCATTATGATTTCACTTGCCAGAAAGTAAACATTATGCCAGGATAAGTCGGTTTTCTAACGATAACACACACACACACACACACACACACACACACACACACACACACACACTCTCTCTCTCTCTCTCTCTCTGGCTCTCTCTCTGCTATATTCAGATTGTGATCAATTATATCTTTCTACGACTTCCTCTCATTTTTTTTTCGAGATTTCACTAATTTTCACTTTATATTTATTGTTCCTTTATCCAGCCATTGAAACTTGTCAAGTAAGCCTCTCATTGCTTTATTTGCCTTCTGTATGATTTGTGTGTATCAAATTCTTCAAGCCTTCGTCCTCAAATATCTATATTTCTGAGATGAGTTATTTTAACTATTTGCACTATTTATATTATTCGGAATGTTGTCCTCATATTTACTGCCATATTCACGATGTTTCGGCCGTTGTACGCACCGACTTTCTTCATCCAAAAGCGTAGTACATGGAATTAGAACAACCTATCCCCCGTAGACTAAAGAGTTCGGTTCGAAATTCCAAGAACTATCACTTGAAGAAGGCCAAAGCGTAAATGAACGAAACGTCGTGAATATGGCAATAAATTTGAAGACAACAGCCCAAATAATGTAAATAGTTTAATTAGTGATCTCAAATGTTAGCTGTCTGATTGAGAGCAGTACCATATTGTTGTTATTCTTAAAAGTTACTCGTTTCTCAAAATCTCTTCATGGTATTTCTCAAATTTCTTCAGCAGAACAACATCTTTGCCGCTTCAAGTTATTTGTCTTCATCTATGACGAAATTGTTGTTTCCAATAACATCTTCCCGTTTCACTTTCCATCATCTAACGCTCAAAGAGTGAAGTTTTCTTTCTTGATTACGATGTCCCCATTATGCAACTCTCACGTTGGGTTTCCCCTTTTGTTTACATTTTGATCTAATGCAAAAAAGTCCAAAAATATCACATCTATGCAGATGATTTAATTAATGCCTTGTCTTTTTCTTTATTTCTTTTTTCATGTATAGCACTTATTATTCTTTTCTTTTCCCACAGTCTTTTTCCTCTTCCTTGTTTGCTCTCTTTTGTATCAGTCTTCTCTTTTCCCTCTGTTTTTCCTCACTTTGCACTTTCTTTCTCTTTCTTTTCTGATATATGTCGCCATTTTCTTATATATGTGGCGATTTTTCCTGCTAAACTCAATATATTCTTTGTAATATCCAGACACTGGACAAAGTTATTTGTTTTATCAGAAAGGAAATAAATGTCCTGGCATTCTACAGCCTCGTCTTACGAAATGTCAAAAGCTACAAATAAAATGTTAATCCTTATTGATATCTAAGTAGAAGAGTTTCCCATTGATTATTCTCCATTTGTAGAAATGAAACGAATCAACTTGACGGAAATATTCCATTCTTTTTTTAATTGTCTTCATTTTACAAATGCATATTTTTATCTTAGCTTTTTACTCAAAAACAAAGCCAAGCGACAATTCCAAATTAGATGAAAACCAAAAATTGCAAAAAATAAAATAAACTAAATGCGATGCATGAACTGCAGTTTAAACAATTTCAGCGCGATTTAATTTGGAAGCCAACAGATAAGAAGGAATTTAAAAGTTTTTCGAACAAGTCAAGAACTCAAAGGGAAGGACCAGTGACAACAGAAATTATTGCAAGTGAAGAATAGCAGAAAAAAGGTGAATAACAGTTGAAATTCTCGATTTAAGGAAAGAATGAAAGCAGACAATATCTCACAGAATATAGGAGGTTAAGCAATAACATTAGAAATGAGAGGCAAGTTAAGCAAATATGGAACATGGGAATGGGAAATATGCAGAGATCGAGAAACTAAGGAACAAAGACGTAGTGCGCACGCACAAGATGCGCTTTTTGGCAGGATGTATAAAATCTAAAGAGGGATCGATGATAATGAATTTTTGATTGATTTGTTTGCGGATTATCAAGCTCTGCAGATTATTTAATGGCAGAAAATAGTTTTAAATCGAAAGCGTTTTTTTTTTTGGCGATTGATAATAATTAACTGATACAAGTCCTACTAGTTAATCCATAGCTGGAGGAGAATAGGTTGATTCATACCTTTTCCAAGAGATGTGCACATAAGTGAATATAACAAACCCGACTGGAATCAGAACTCGGTTCTCTTCCAGTTCAAAGTCGTTATCCATTACACTACCAACAGCTCCAAGCGTACAGTGTCTGATATTCCCAGCTATCACCCATCTACGTACTGATCAGGTTCGACATTTGCTTAATTGCTCTGATCGCACGGTTATTTCAACGCGATATGGCCGTAATCCCGATGATAATGAAAACAGAAAGTTACTCAATCAGTGGAATGTGTCTATAGAACAACAGATGAGTGAAATTGCAATCTCTGGAAACATGAAAGGACCATTAATAACATTAATTTGAAGTTAGGTCAACACTGACCAAGAGGAAGAAGATCGAAGCAGTAGAAGCGGAAGAGACTGTAATAGGCATACTGACATCTTTAGGCCATTTGGGGATTGATATGATAGCCGAGTTAATAAACGAAATATACGACAGTGGCGAAATAGAGGGGGATTTCAATAAATCAATTTTTATAACGTTGCCAAAGAAATCAGGCGTGAATCAATGCGAGATCCCGTTGAACAATTAACTTGATGAAATACATAAAACTTATAATTAAGCGACTAATGAACAGACAAATAAAGAAAGAAAAAATATAGTTAGGTCACAGACCAAGAACATCTATAATCAGAAGATTGTCAGTACACGCAACTGGAATGAAATACCTAAATCCTCAGCGTAAATAAATTTAACAATAACCGTTACGAAAACAATATTGCTGATGACAGGTTAAAAAGAAAAATTGAAAACTATTAGACAAGATAACTGATTAAATTGGGAAGAAAGATAGATTCATAAACTGTAAGAAAACTGATTGTATGTCTGTTGGTAAAAGGCGAATGTCAAATTCAAACAGGAATGAGAATTGAAGTCTCTGAGTAGGGATAGTAACAAGTGACGAAAAGCAGGGTATAAAACTCTGAAAAACGCTTAGTGACAGCGTAAGATGTTTTTTAGAAACTAAGTAAGGTACTAAAGGATGGAAATATAACATTAGGCACGACATGTTGAATTGTTATCTAATCTCCTATATGACAGTGTATGATGCTCAAATTCGTCACAAATAAAAAAAAGAAAGACTTCAAACGCGGCATCTACAGACATGTGTTAAGAGTATCATGGAGAACTTATCTAATAAAATGAAAGAGTTTGAAGAATAAGAATTACATGGAATTTGTTACCAACAAACAGAAGAGGGCGCTGAAAATTCTGGGACATAAGTAAAAGAGAAAATAGCAATCACCTTTCCATGAATTCCTAAACAAAAGTTTAATGCTCTTTTCCAAATGTAGATACAAAAACGAATTCTTATTACGCTACCTACAACGGTATCGCTATAAAAAAAAAACTAAATAACATCGCATAATATAAATTTTATAAAATTTATTTCAAACACAAAAAGATTTAAAACCGAAGAAAATATACAAAAAATAAAGAATAAATAAATGAAATAGATAAAATAATGAAACTTTACAAATCGCGATATTGAAATTATTGCATTATTATTTCTGTTTTTTGTTGCTTTGTTTATTTTTATCTGTTTCTTTATTATTAATTTTTTTTTGTTTTCTGTCGGAGTATTGTTTTATCTCCGCCATTTTGTTTTTGCACATCGCGACAGAGAGATAAAATTTAAATTTTAATTATTGCATTATCCCCAAATTTTAACACATCAGCAGAAAGCTACTAATGTCAACAACTGAGCACAAATTGTTATTAATTAAAAAAATAGTAATTAATGTATAATATTATCCATAACTACATGTACAAGAATGTTGTTTTTGATAAAAGTTAAGAAATAACCATAAATACATCTAAAATATATATGTATATTGTCAAAAATTCTTTTTTTCGCTATATAACTATTTGTGTTGTTATAATGCTTATTATATAAAGAATAATAAAACTGAAAAAAAAAAATTAAACATTAAAGTATATTTAAACACATTTTTCTAATAGCTGTCGTGATTTGTAAGTAAATATAATAATAAATGCATAATAAATAAATAGTAAAAATAAAGTCATGACTTAAATAAACTAAAACATTAAGCGTCACCTAAGAAAATGGAAGCGCGCCGGTTTCAATCTTTCCTTACTTTCCAATTTCCACAAGCGGTCTATATAGACAGCGAGTAGTAATATATATTGTTTGAAGATTGTTTAATATCTGTCTATATCTCTGAGATAAGGTATTATGATTACTTGCATTATTTACATTATTCGGTCTTTTATCCTCTTCTTCATTTCGATATTCACAATGTTTTGGCCGTTGTACGCTTCGGCCTTCTCCAGATGATTGGAATTTCGAACCGAACCCTTTATTGTTCTAGTTCACGTGCCATGCCTCTTCCGGGTGTCTCAGTTATTCCCCTTTAACGTAAATCTCCAAGTATTTTGGTTCACCACTGCTATGGCTTAGTATTAAACTCACAACTCTTCGAGTTTAGTCACTGGATCTAACCAACGTCTTTATCCACTGGAACACGTGCCCTTGGGGATATCTGGGACTTATAAATCTAATGTCTCAGCAAAATTTTTTTTTTACCAGTGCTCATATTAAAAAAATTTAATATGGACGAAATAAAGGGATCGGTTGGAAAATTCAATTACCTGAAGAAGGCCGGAGCGTACAACCATCGAAACGTTGTGAATATGGCAATGAAAATTTAAAAATTCACCAAAAGTCATTTTAGAAGACAAGCTTTCTAAGCATTGAGCCACGGAGTTGCACCTAGAAATCACCTTGGATTGCAGTTGCTGTTTTTAGGAGTTCATTTAACGTCGAACCCTTGTTTCAAAATTTCGACTTTCTTTTCCAATTCCTTTTCTCGCAGCCCACTTTTCAGATGATACGTTATAATGAATGGGTTATTCTTGGCGAATGTATCGTACAATCCCTGCATCCTGAAAAAGAAAAGAAATGCTCAAAGCAACATTCGGGAAAACATGGAATTTTTTTTTCTTGTTTCATCTGTAATTACAAAAGAAGCAGAAAATTTGTTTACAATGTAAATGTAAGAATATAAGAATAAGAATGCAAGAATATAAGATGCGGGTGTAGGAATATAAGAATGAGAATATAAGAATGAGAATATAAGAAGAGAATATAAGAATGATTCGAAAGTCATAACGCTCGTTTGCTTCCATATGAGAAAAAGTCTTTCAAAAGAATAAGAAGAATAGCAAAACATAAATTGACATGCGCAAGAAATGATGAGAGAGAAGAAAAAGTAAACAGACTTCACCTCATGTCATGTCATTTGCAATCATATTTTCAGGAAAGCAAAATGAAAAAAGGGCAAAGGTCAAGTTGGGTTAGGGAGGTGGGGAAGAGGACTTTACTTCTCATACGGTTCATTCTTTTTTTCAAAGTATTTTTTCTGTACAAAAATGATCTCATTTTGTTTGATTAAATAAATAAAAAAACATTGATGTTTATTTATACTTGTTTTTTAGTTGATTAGCATTGCAATTCTAAAACGAGATTAGAAACGAGAAGAATTTTGATTGGCAAAATACCTCAGGAATCATTTTTCATTCCAGTACAATGTGAAAGAAGGTTTCATTTCAAGCAGGCGCGGCCAATTCCTATGGAAATATCGATCAATGGAGGAAATAATCGATTTAAAGATCAGAAGAAAACAAAAATATTGGAATCTGTTCACAGGATGTTCTCTTTAAATGATCAAAAAGATCCATTCTTCAGGATTTTGGAAAGATTCAGTGATCAAGAAAAGCAAAAACCAGGAGTATTTATGGACTTGTGAGAAACATGATTATCATGTCTAAATGTTCCCATACTGCTCGTATTTCTGCTCGTAGGATTTTCTGTCTGTAATCATGAGAGAGAGAGAGAGAGAGAGAGAGAGGGGGGAACAGCGAGTAACCCCCCGTCACGAACTTGTGTCAATAGATTGCAGAACAGAGAGGAGAGAGAGAGAGAGAGAGAGAGAGAGGGGGGGACAGCGAGTAACCCCCCGTCACGAACTTGTGTCAATAGATTGCAGAACAGAGAGAGAGAGAGAGAGAGAGAGAGAGAGAGAGAGAGAGAGAGAGGGAACAGCGAGTAACCCCCGTCACGAACTTGTGTCAATAGATTGCAGAACAGAGAGAGAGAGAGAGAGAGAGAGAGAGAGAGAGAGAGAGAGGGGGGGAGGGGAACAGCGAGTAACCCCCGTCACGAACTTGTGTCAATAGATTGCAGAACAGAGAGAGAGAGAGAGAGGGGGGGACAGCGAGTAACCCCCCAATCACGAACTTGTGTCAATAGATTGCAGAACAGAGAGTGAGAGGGATAGAGAAAAGACAAAACTTTCTAAGGACAACAAAGAATAGGAAGTTGTGGAGAGCCACGAGCAACGTACATAATGACTTTGTTTCTATGGATTACAGAACAGAATGTGAGAAGGATAGTGAAAAGACAAACCTTACTAAAAGCAACAAAGGATCGGAAATTGTTTTTTACGGCATATCAAAAGCTACATGGGTTATTTAATACAAAAATCTAAATATGAAAATTCAAATTTTATAATTAATTCAAGGGAATGACATTTTTTTTCCTGGTTTCATTTTAATTAGCTGCATTTTCTTTTACCAAATAATCTTACAAGAAATGAGAATAATCATAGGAAATTGTTTTTTGACTTTTTTTCGATATATGCAAGGTGTTCAATATTAGTATATGA